CCCTCAGTACACACACAGCCCCCCTCAGTACACACACAGCCCCCCTCAGTGCACACACAGCCCTCAGTACACACAGCCCTCAGTACACACACAGCCAGTGTTCATAGGCGCATAACCAGCCCAAGCCCAGTGCATATGGCATATGGCTCACACCACGCTCAGGTGCCCTGACAACAGGCCCTGGCTGGAGCACCCCCTGATCAGAAAGAAGAGGCAACCTGGCCTGAGCATCCAGCTCTGCCCCCTCCCCGACCCACCTCTGGTGCTTCTGCCACCTTAGCCCAGGGCTTCAGAGAGGCCCTTCTTTGGGAACCCTGTCCATCTCTCTCCAGTGCCTTGTGTTGCCACCTCTGTCTTCCATAGCCATCCCCAACACACAGCTACTGCCCACCCATAGAAGGCATGTCTACCAGAACCCTGCCCACAAGCTGCCAGCCAGGGAGATCCCCACCCTGGAAGACAGGCACCAGTCAGGGCCTGCAGATGCATCTCCGCTTGGGGCTCACACCCCACACCGTTCACCCAGAGCGCCTTCCGTGTCTCCAACTCTGCATCCCCACACATCCCCCTCCTTCACCTCCACGCCCACGGACCTCCTTCCTTGCTTCCACACCTATGTCCCCTGCCCCTATATCCCAACCTTGGACCATACTCCCCATGTTCAAGCCTATGCCCCGTCCCCCTCATTCTACGTCCCACCCCCACACGATCAGTGCCCACTGCCCTACCTGGCTGGGAGGTCTGGCCCTTGGAGACCACTTACCTTGCAGGCAGGACTCTGAAGCTCCTCCTGCCCAGCAGCAGGACAGAGTGGAAGCGGCAAAGGCACGCCTGCAAGAGAGCAGAGCAGTCAGCGGGCAGCACATGCCCGGCCACCACTGCCACCTCTACTTGACCAGCTCTACCGTCCAGAGACTCCCAGGCTCGAGTTAGGATGGAAGGGCCACCTAAGAGCTATGAGGAGGATAACAGGGCAGATGAGAGGAGGAGCAGCAGTACGTAGCCCAGGCATCAGGACTGTGGGCCAGTTACAACCTCCTGAAAGGCTCTGTGGACATCCTCAGATACTGCCTCACCCACCACCTCCAAGACTCCAGAAGTCCCAGGGCATGATGTCCTGTGACCTCTCACAAGTGACCAAGGGTGGCCACCAGCACTCCCAGGGGACAGTGTCATGACTACAAAATCACATCACCAGAGAGAAGCTATCCAGCCTAAGGTTGAGACCAGACAGGAACACTAAGCCTGTGTGTGTTCACTGCCAACTCCAAGGACATGCTCCGAGTTATGACTCACTGAGAACTGTAGGCGGACCAGCCCAGGGCAGGGGGGCAGGGCCAAAGGCCAGAGCAGAGAATGCGCTCTAGCCAGAAGTGCTGTCCTTCAGCATTTCTGGCTGCATGTGAGGGGCATGGTGTCTGGGCTGCTCTAGTTAATGGCCCAGAAATGTTTAATGCTTCTGTCTATCATCAAACGGCTGGGTTCTCAGAAGCTTACAAGTGGTCACTAAAGATGTGACCATCTCTGTTGACCTAGAGCATCAGAGGCAGGAGAGGCAGGTCCAGGAGGAAACAGAATGTGTGGCTGATGGTGTCCATGAAGTATGGCCACCTTCAGATAGGGACCAGTGGCCATTACTGAATGTTCCCATCAAGATTTTACAAAAGAAAAAAAAAAAGATTTTACAAAAGAATCCTTATCAGGAGGAAAGTGCAAGACAGAATCTCAAGGTCTTAAGACTCCAGACTTTGTGGAACCAAGGAAGTTAGATGAACTGCCTAGAGTTCACTTAAATCTCAAATCAAACACACCCCTGACAAATTCTAAAACCAAACAATAGTTTAAGTGAACTAGCAAAAAAGGTCTGCCTTGTACACCAGGCTCTGTAAAACTCTCTCTGCGTGATGAACAGCCTAAACACAGAGAGCGAGCAACAGGGCTGGGAGTTCTTAACAGTGGGTGAGGAGACCGGCAGCTCAAAGGCCGGGACCTTTGTACCTGCAGAAGCCCTGAGGCTGGTGTGTGCTACACCTGGGCATTCTCAATGTGGAAAGCTAACCAAGTCACAGCCAGCGTCTCCGAGCCCTGCTCCTGGGAACCTCTGCCCAGCGAGGACCTTGCTAGCTCATCACAGCTCCAAGGACAACACAAAGCACACTGGTCCGTGACCCGCTCTTCAGGAGTGGCAGAAGGACAGATCTCTGCTGGGCAAGGCCACATGCAGCCAGGGCCAGCCCACCAGAGGCTGCAGGCAGCAGTCCAGTAGGGGCAGCAGCATACAGATTTCTCCCTGGGGGGCAGACGGTGGCCACGTCTGTGCCTCCCACGGTGGTACCAGAGACACAGCACAGAAGAGGTGGCCTGTCTGTGCCATCACACAGGCCCCGGCAGAGTCCACAGGAGGCTGGGTCTAGGTGGAATTCCAACCACGACCACCATGTCCACCGGACCAGAATCCACTCATACCTGAAGGAGGGCCCTGCCTGTGTGTCCCTGTCCATGACGCCCAGGTACAACCCCTTCAGGGGGCCTGCTCACAGCCCCCAGCAGGAAGACTTCCCACCCCGCCTGTGCTGTCCAGGTACCCTGTCTCTTAGCCACTGAAGCTCAGCTCCGGCAGAGGAGTAGGGAGGAAAATGCTGGGAGCAAGTGCTCCTGAGGGGCCCTGATAAGGAAAAGTGAAAGGAGTGTGGGTTCATAGGACTTAGCACTGGCCCAGAGGGCGGGATGCAAGGACACTGAAGCCAGAAGTCAGGAGGGAGGGAAAGGACTGGCTCAGGGAGGGGAGTAGGCAGCTGAGGGTCACCCTAGTCAGAGGGACCTTAGCCTCAGCAGCACAGTGGGAGAGGGTCACATGAGCCAGGGCAGGGAGGAGCTGCTAGGTACCCTGAGGTCAGACACCTAAGGCCCCTTTCCTTGCTGTGTAACAGCACTGGCTTGCTGCTTGGAGCTTTGAGCTCTCCGTCCAGCCTTTCCCAACTGCCTGGCTGGCACTACACTCCTACCTCCTCGCCTCCAGCCTCCCATGAACACCGCGCCCCGCCGCCGCCCTCCCCACAAAAGCCTCTGAACACTTGTTGTTGTGTGACTCACAGGGACACTACGTACAACAGCTCTGAAGCCTGCCCTGTCCTAAGCTAGTTTCACTAACTCACCTACCCCCAGTTACTTTATCAGTCTATGTCATCGAGGTCTTCCTCTCCTGTACTGTCCCTACACCCTTCCAAGCATGATGTCCTTCTCCAAGGCCTAATCCTTCCTGGCCACAAGCCCAAAGTAAGTGAGACAGAGTTTCAGAATTCTAGCCTTGAAGGAGAAACTTGGTTTCACCCTCTCTAAGACAGACCAATTTGTTTTCTTAGCAGTCCATGGTAAGTTCAAAATTCTTCTCCAGGACCAAAACTCAATGGCTTCGATTTTTCTTCTGTTTTCCTTAGTCATTGTCAAGCTCTCTGATGCACAGCAGTTAACTGTGAAGACCATAGCTTGGGTCAGGTGCACCTTAAGTCTCTAGACTGACATCGTCACTTCTCCGTACTCTAGAGAGGTCCTTGACAGATTTTCCCAGTGCAATTCATCTTTTGATTTCCTGACTGCTGGTGCCAGGGTGTTGTGGAGCTGAGCAAGCTGTAACTATTAACAACCTCAATCTCTTCTCCATCCATCACGATGCTGCCAATCAGACCAGTGGTGAGAGAATCTTTGTCCTCTTGATGTTGAGCTGCAACCCCTATTGAAGACTATTATAAACTCCAATTTCACATTATACGTCTCTGTGAGACAGTGCGGCGCAGAGTCCACTACAGGATCCAAACAGTGCTGGGTCAGGGGGAATGTCATGAACACTTCCTGACGGGAAGCAGATGTCCAGCCAGACCTCCATGGGCCTCACAGCAGGGAGAGGGCTCAAAGGTATTTCTGAAACATAGAGTCCTTTGGCAGGGCTCTCATGGCCAGCTCCACCCACCAGGGGTCCAGAGACCCCCACAGGCCTATCAGCAGGTGTTCTTGGCATGTGGAGTCCCTTGACAAGGCTCTCATGACCAGCCCCATCTGCTGGGATCCAAAAGACCCCCACATTCCCACCTCCTTCTAGCACTCTCAGAGTCTGCCCCTGAGATGCTGTCCTACTGGGCAGGTCTGATGCCCAGAGTGTGCACATCACTTTAAGTGCCGGGGTGGGCCTGCAACCAAGCTGACTGCCCACCGTGTATGTGCAGTGTAGCTCACGCCAGTATAAATCGAGAGGAAGCAGGTCCCAGGATCCACTCACACAGTGTGCGCCCAGCTTGCTCCCGAACGCCCCCATTACTATCCAAGTTACCGGTCTGACCAGAAGACAGGCCGTCCTGGCTATGAGCAGGTCAGAAGCCTCTCTCCCCTCCAAAAAATCTTTGCCAGCATTCCTGTGGAATGCAGCTGACAACTTACAAGGTAGCACGAAAATGAGTGTGCAAGTGTCATGCTGCCCTTACTGTTCCCCTCAAGGCCCCGCTTAGCCACCTCATCCACTAGCACGGTAGAGACACTGAAGGTCACTGCACACAGGATGGCCCGCAGCCATAAGGAGTGACAAAGTGGCTCCACGCAGGCAGGTGTTCACAACCCTGTGTGCCTCAGCCCGAGAAGAAACTGAGCCACAGAAATACTACATCGCAGGAAATCGGCCAAACCCATCTGCGACCCACTCCAGGCCAGTCTGGGTTCAGCTGCTGACTAGGCTGCAGCCTACTCCACAGGGCTGTCTGGGGGCCCAGGGATGAAACCCTACACTGTAAAGTGCTGCTCCATGTCATCATCGTGGCCGCAACACTCGCGCCCGGCACCGCGCTCACTCGCCGCCCGGACCCCTGGGGGGGCCTCTTCCTCGTGGAAGGCGGGACCCAGAAAGCGTCCTAGAAAACAGCCGTCTCCTTACAAACTCACAGCAGACCCTCCAGGGGGTGTTCAGAGGCTGTAAATCGCTGGGGAGGAGACTGTCCATTTCTCCCAAGGAACGCCTCCCTCTGGAGGTGCCCCCAGAGTTCCCCGAAAACAGGTGTAACCAGGACTGCAAATGCTGAGGCCCCTCTGCAAGAGCCGCATTCCGCAGTGGCTGCAAAGCTAAGTCAGCTGACCGTCCAGGTGCAGGAACCAGGGGCTGGGTGGGGCGCGCGGACAGGCTCAGGCACAAGTCCCCGGCCACACAGCGGTGTGGCTCTGCCCCGGGCGGGGTCAGCCCAGGGCACCACAGGGGAGGGTCCAGGGGCACCCAGGAAGCCCTCCTGGGCCGGTCCGGGAGCCGGCTAAGGGGCGCTGCAGGCAGCCTCGGTGGTGGGAGGCAGATGAGGTGTCCACCGGGAACCTGGTGTCTGCGGGATGCGGTGCACGGCCCGCGGGAGGCGGGTGTCACCCAGTCCCCCGACAAAGCCAGCTGGGGCAGAGGGCACCTGCGCATGGGCTGAACGCAGCACCTGGGGTCCCCCCGCGGGGTCACCGGTCTCCCGGGCAAGTGCTCGTGCTGGCAAGAATCCGAGGGGAAGGGGGTCCACGGTACCCGAAGGGCTCCAGCAGCCCCATGGCTCGGACGGGCCTCGGGCCTCGGGGGCCCAGGAGGGTCTCTCGGGGCGCAAGGACCCAGGGTTCCTGGCGGGGGGCCCGGCCGAGGGTCCGGGCTGGGCTCGGAATGTGCGCGCCCGGGGCCTGTCATGGGGCGCCTCGCGGAGGCCCTCACCGGTCGCCACATCCTGCCGCTCCGTGCGCTCGGCGCCCGCTTCCGCCGGTGGAACCAGAAACCCCTGCGCCGCCACGCTGGGGCTTGCAGACAGGCCGACAGGGAGCACAGGGCGCACGCGTGCGAGGGCCTCGGCGCTCCCCGAGCGGAGGCCTCGAGGCCACGCCCCACGCCCCGCCTCCGGAAGCCGCGCTTGCTGGCGGTGATTGGTGGGCGCCTCGTGGCGACGCCCCCTCCGGAGCCTCCGCCCAGCCGAGCGGCTGCAGGAGCAGCGCCCCCTGTCCGTCATTGACCGACCACGTGACTCCAGCCCCGTCTTTACTTGAGTCTCTCCTGGAGGGATATGTTGTGGAGTTGCCATCGCATGTCCAGCCAACTAAGACTTATAGCGACCCTTTGTACCCTTCTGATTCTTGTCCGATCCTGAACCAACCTCACCATTTCTGATACACCTGACCTCATTGCCGTAGTCACTGTGTCAATCCATCCAGAGACTTTCTTCCTTTCCTGCGCTGCCCCTCCACCCTTCCAAATATAATGTCTTTCTCCAAGGAGTGGACCCTCTTGGCCACGTGCCCAAAGTATGTGAGACGAAACTTCAAAGTCCTTACCTCCAAGGAGTAGCTTGGTTTCACCCTAAGACAGACCTATTTGTTCTCTTAGCAGTCCACAGTATGTTCAATATTCTTCTCCAGCACCACAACTCAAAGGCATGGATGCTTCAGTCATCCTTAGTCATTGTCCAGCTCTCAAAGGCATAGCAAGCAACATTGTGAAATGCATGGTTTGGATCAGGTTCATCTTAGTCTCTATACTGACAATGTTGCTCTTAGCACTCTGGAGAGGTCCTTGACTGCAGATTTCCCCAATAAAACATGTCTTTTGATTTCCTGACTTCTGGTTTAAAGAATATGGACTGTAGATCTGGGTCTGAGCAAGATTAAATTGTTAAAACTTTGCCAGCCAAAGGTAATAAAGGAGGTCAGAATTGCTTCCACTCTGGAAAGCTGGGCCACTTCAGTAGACAGTGTCACAGATGAGAGCCACAGATAGGCAAGGGAGTAGAGAGGAAGCTCCCTCTCACTTGCTTTAAGTGTGGCTCTGAAGGACACTTGGCCAAGGTGGCCCACATCAGGTCCTCGTGGCAGATAGGACTGACAGGCCCCAGCTCCCAGCTGGAAACAAAGTAGGATGCTTCAACAATTGAGATCCTCCAAGAAGAGCCGTGGATGAGCATTAACATTACTGGTAAGTATATTCATTTTCTCCTGGACACAAGAGCCTATTATTTGGTCCTAAAAGCCTTCTGAGGTCCCACCTCTTCTCACTATCTCTTAGTTGTTGGAATGGATGGAAAACCTCATAAGCAGTTCCTTACTTCACCTCTACCTTGCATGTGAACTTCTGAGTTGTAAAACAGCCCAGTGGTAGATGGAATTTGCTCCAGGACTTAAGAAGCATAAATGACATAGCTGAGCCTCTAACCTGTACACTATAATAGACAAAGTGCTAGTCTATAGGCCTTTTATTGTAAGAACCACCTTCCCTCTGTAACTTGATTTGTGCCACTACTAGAACCTCTACTTGGAATATTATTGCTTGTTAATTTTTGACTCATGTACTTTTAACTTGTTAAATTTGTGTCTTCTAGGTTGCAACACCTCCATGATACATCTTCAAGGATATGAACATGTACGGCTAAGCACAATTAATAACAGTGCATCTAAATTCCAAAATCAATCTCCATAATAGTCTAAGTGTTTCCTACTGCCAAAGGGGCCCTTTAGAGTAGTGAGAGAAGATCTTCACCCTGAAACCCACAGGGTGAAGTCTCTCTCAGGGAGGAGTGATAGGGAATGACAAAGGAGATTAATCAGAACTGGCTTTGACAAGCACTGTGGCAATTGGACAATTAAAACAGACATTTGGGGGCGGGGGGGGGTGGAAGAAGAACGAACTGGGGAGGAGGGTAGAGAAAACAGTGCAACAATGAATGAATGAGAACCCAAAATCTCTGTAAATGTTCATTAAAACTAATAAAATTTAATAATAAATTGTTAAAACTTGAATCTTGTCCCCATCCATCATGACACTACCTATTGGCCTGGTGTTGAGGGCTTTGGTGTTATTGATGGTAAGAGGCAGTACACAGAGGAGGCTGCAGCAAGCCCTTCAGGTCCTCTTCAGTTTCAGTGAGCAAGGTTAAGGTATCTGCGTAATGAAGGTTACTGATTAGTCTTTCTCCAATCCTAATACCACATTCTTCTTCACAAAGTCCAGCTTCTTAAATGATCAGTTCAGCATATAGACTGAAAAGGTATGGAGAAAGGATACAATCTTGGCGTACAGGTCCTTGGAGAAGGACGTCATGCTTGGGAGGGTGGAGGGACAGCATAGGCAGTACAATTGGCACAGGACAGAGTAGGGTTTAGGGCTATTGTACATAGGGTCGCTATGAGTCGCAAGATACTCGACAGCACATAACAACAATAACAGTGTTCTCTTGATCCAGGAAGTATTAAAAGAAGATGGAAATAATATACTGAGTCACTGTATAGAAAGGAATTGGCAGACACAGAAGAATTTAATGAAACAACATATGAACTAGAGCCTATTGTGATGAAGTTCAAGATGCTTTGAAGGAAATAGCAAAAAATAAGGCCCCAGGAACATATGGTATACCAATTGACGTATTTCAGCTAACAGATGTTGCCCTGGATTTGCTTACCAAATTGTGCCAAGAAATCTGGAGAACAACCACTTGGCCAGCTGACTGGAAGAGATCTATATTTGGTCCCATTCCAAAGAAGGGTGACCCAACAGAGTGTGGAAACTATAGAACAATATCATTAATTTCACATGCAATCAAGATTCTACTGAAGATTATCCAAAAACGACTGGAACAGCACATCAGCAGAGAACTGCTAGAAGTCCAGGATGGGTTTAGAAGGGGTTGTGGTACTAGGGTTATTGTAGCTGATGTTAGATGGATCTTAGCTGAAAGCAGAGAGTACCAGAGGAATGTCTATCTGTGTTTCATTGATTATGCAAAGGCATTTGACTCTGTGGATATAACAAACTGTGGCTGACTCTGAGAAGAATGGGAATCCCAGAACGCTTGATCATGCTAATGAGAAATCTGTACTTGGACCAAGAGGCCGTCGTCAGAACAGAGCAAGGAAACACTGCACGGTTCAAAATTGGGAAAAGCGTATGCCAGGGATGTGTCCTGTCTCCATACCTTTTCAACCTGTCTGTAGAACAGATTGTCCGGGAGGCTGGGCTCTATGAGGTGAAATGTGGTGTCAGGATTGGAGTGAGATCTATCAACAATCTGTGTTA